AGTCATTACGCAAATAAATCAGTAAATCCTTATAAGATGTTTCCATATCTCAGGGGTCAGTCACAGGGTATATTATTAGGCTAACGTGATTCCAAAGCCTAATAAAAGAATAAGGTATTATCATATCTCTCGTCTCTCTTTTTTAAACATTATAAATAATTTTGATCAAGTCATCTCATTCAAATATTAAATTGATTCATTTATTCTCTGTTCCTAATCTATTTCTCTAATTCAAATCTAAAGCAGATTTTTGATTTTAATAACAACTAAGAGAAATAAGAGCGCATCCAGAGAGACACGCTCTGAAATAAAACAGCGCAGGGGAAAACAAGCCTCTTGGCTCTGCAACGTCCTTCAGATGAATCCAAGGCAACGAGTGCTACTCACCATCAAATGCTAGTCAAACCTGGGCCTTACATTATGGTTTACCATTCAGGGTCAGCTGAAGATGCAGATATAAACAGTGCTGTAGAGTTGAGCCATCTTTAAAGAGCTATTTTCTTGGCGCAGTTATACGAAATTGTTGGCTGGCAAGACTGCACAGGGATCCCCATTCTTTGACAACTGCTTTGACTTTATGGAGCCAGGAGACATGTTTTCAAGCATGAAGGTTGCTAATACTAACAATTCAATTCATAAAGAAGGAGGAAGATACTTGCAGGTTCAGGTATTAGCCTAATTGCCCTAAGGTTATTGCTCGTCAGCTGGTCTGGTTTCGCTACCCTGTAGCTTAATTAGCATTTGAACAAGGTAATGAATCCTTAGGACTTGATCCTTTTTCAGAGCCCTGCCACCGTCATTCAGAAAGGTCAGAAATCAACCCTGTCTGGCTCAACGTTTCCAAGTATTCCTCTGCATATGCCAGAATTAGTCCGAATACCTTCCAAAAGCTGATTCACAATTATTAAACTGGAGTATGACTTTTGTGACATTGATTCATGGGAATTATATACTCCTGAGACAGATCCATTCAGTTCAATGAAACCAACATAGAGATGGCAACTCCGTAAGAGTCTACTTCTGAGAAAATTGTTTTATGTTAGAGGATGAATGTTTTAAATAAACTGTCTGGACAAGAAGGAAAACAGCATTAACTTCCTAGTGGTCTATCATGGAGTTTTGGTGAGTTCTTTTAATTAAATGTACTTAAGTAAAGTTTTTATCTTATGGATGATACTGCTAGTCTTTAAGTGTCTTCTGTTGCCTCAAAGCCGCTATGGTTATAAGATCTATTTTTCTTCTCCCTCAAGTGGAAGTAATTCACACGGGCTGGTTCATCATGGTGTGAAACTCATTTAGTAACAGGATTTTCTAAGCAGCCCTATTCTTTATGTAATTCCTTCTCTTACCTCACTTTTTATAATCTTCACAGCAAACTCTGCTTATCTATCTGATGTATTTTGTGTTTGTTTATTTTTTCCAAATTTAGTTCTCTTTGTATTATATAACCTCCTTCTTGACTGTTTTTCGAAATCTCAGTAGTATCTCATATAGAGTTTCATTTTTATTCCCCCAAATCCACTGGTGCAATGCCTATAATATTGTTCTGTAAGCTGCTAAAATCGACTTTAGCAATTGCATTCACTGGAATTTGGATTATCAAATAGAGTGATTCTTAAAACTTCCTTATCCCAATTTTTCTTTGCACTCATTGTTTGTTATGACAGTGTTTGTCAAGGTCATCCTAACCTTATGGGAGAAACAGACAATCCTAATTATATATATTTTTTTTAATTCCTTTACTAAGTTGAACAGCTCCCCATAATGTTATAAAAATCTTTCTCACAGAGAGCTGCCCTCAGACTTGTAAGAATGGAAACAGTATATTTTCAACCTAATTTGATTGTTATGCTTTTCAAATATGCTGAACTGATATCTCTAGAGGCTGGGGTCTGTTGTTTACACACAGAATAAAGACATTAGAGAGAAAAAAACAGCAGAAGCTTCCCATGGCAACTTGCCTTGGAACTGTCTTTGAACAACCACCTCGAGGAGTGACAGAGCATTGCAGCTTCTGTGGCTCATTCAATCCCGTGGCTTTCTGATGAGGCTTCTAATGAACAAATACAAGTGTAATGTTGTTTTCTCATATATAGCACCACTTCAGAATGACTGGTAAGCAGGTCACTGAATGTCCATCATAAGGCAATGACTTTCAGTTGGTTACTGCACTTTTAATTGTCATATGCTATCTATGAAAACCTCCACTGTGTAAAGGTCTAGAAGAGAATTTCTTTCTCTGCAGATCATCAAAGGAACTCAGTAATTACATATTTACCATTCACTTTAGTTTTCTGTAGTCCATTTCAGCTCCCACTGAACAAATTCCTTCCTACTATGTCACAGTCAGCTTCAGTCATATCTGAATTTACCAGGGACCCTTCGTATCTTCAACCAACAGATACAGACGTTTCCATCTGTCTTTTGTTGGATGACTCACTGCCTTATTCCTTCTCTCAATTTATGGTTCTGCTGATTTTAAACTCTTCCATGTCACTAAGGTCTAAGCTCTCTGCATACCAGATACAGTCATGCGGCTCAACAATTACAAAAGGTAAAATGGTTCAAATGAACCTGTCAAAATGCCTCATTTACCAATTACAACTCTTTATTGAATTTAACTTAACCTGTCCCATATTACTGTTTCTGCTTTCCCCTAGTCATAAATGACTTGAGTATCACTTGCTTTTCATGTCACATTTTTCTGTCTTTTTTATGGCAAAAAAAAATCCCTCGCCCATGAGAACCTTCTACCTGAACAACAGGAAATGTTTACAGTGCAATTACATATAAAACTTTTGGGCTTCTAATTTTGCTAAAAACACGGATCTCAGCTCAGGTTCAGTAAAAAGTTTGCTGAATGTGAAGTGAGCCTGACAAGATTCCCACTTCTGCACTGAAAGCAAGGAGACATACGCAACATGATGCACAGTGAAAATCATTCCTTTCAACTGAGTTTCGCTTTGATGTCCATGAATAGATTGAATACCAAGCTCATGGCAAAAGCCAAAGGATGCGTATGGGAGCCTGAAGATTGAAGGTAGTGAATCAAACTCATCAGATAGTAGGTCCTCTTTGCTCTGCAGATAATAAATACCATAGTGCCTGCTAATATAAATCATTCAAGTATGCCTAAAATCTACTTTCTAATATGTTTATAGAGGATCTGTGTTATATTTCCACCCAGAAAATTTTCTGCTCATTTAACTCACATTATGCATAGACTAGGGCTGGTCTCTATTCATTTCCCGGAGGTGCCACATTATCAGTCCAGCTGAACGTATTTTAGAGCTAAACTACTTCATTTATTCATCATTCAGCTAAATTGACTATCAGAGTGAAAGAGTTCAGTTAAAATATTCTCCTTTCACACTTTCTTTCAGCATGTCAGCTGAGAGGGATGCTAAACCACTGAACTTTATGTTTGTTTTGAAACTGCCTTTTAATCCACTTAAGAGTCTCATTCAGGTCTTGAAGAACAAACAAGCAAAAGAGCTGAATTCTATCATGATTAATTACAACGGAAATCAGTCCCAGCCTAAACATTTACTGAATGCTTAATCCCTGTTAATGTTTTTACTGAATACAAAAGACAACCCAATGGAAAAAAAATATATATTATTTTTATTATCCTTATCCCTTTTTTATTTTTCTGTGCAAGTGCTTCCTTGGGAGAAAGGTACCTGGTAAAAAGCGGAAGTAAGACTTTTTGGTGTGTGTGCACAAAGATAGCGTTGCTAACAGAGGAAATATTTTAGCACAGGATAAACCATGGAAATAAGCAAACGTACAGGAGGTTTATTTGATATGCACAAGCCAACTAGGGCAGTCAGCACGTGCAGAACACCAGAACTGTGTGGGGAAGTGGGTAGCAGCAGAAGGTGATGCCACAAAGAGGTACAGCACAGCGTATGATGGAAAGTAAGACAGACAATCCAGTGTCAGCTCATTTTCTTTGCTGAAGGTCTGGCCTATCTAACCAGAGCATCCACTTTGCTTTTGCTCTTGCCACATGCAGAAGTTCCTTTCTTAGCATGTTGGGGAAAGTGAATACGCTTTCAGCATGCTAGTTTATAGCAATCACTGCTTATGCCAAATGTTTTTGATCACCTACTACGTTAGAACAATTCCACAAAACAGAAAATCTTTGTGATTTTTCACTCACTGTTGTTGTCTCCTCTTTGTTCTAACTTCCCAGAAATGCTAAAAAGATGGATGGAAAGGTAGTCAAAAAGCCACATATGGTGCATGACATTGAACACTAAAATCTTATTTCTTTGGTTACTTATCCTTCTCACAGTAACTGCAGTAGTCTCTGCACATAAAGAAAAAAAGAACTAGAAAAGTCATCACTCTTACACTTTGTATTTACTAAAGTGCAAAATCAAATTGCTTAAACTCGTGTGCCGCAGCTCACCCCTGTGGCCATGCTACATCGTTGAAAGACCACCTTATAAATGTGCTACCTTTTCTTACCAGTGGAAGTTAAGCTCCTCTATAACTGCTTTGCAGCCAAGCAGCAGTAAATGTTTTGTTTTCAGGGCTGCGGAAGGATGGTACACAGCACGAGAGAGAAAGATTTTAAAAAGTGAAATATCTCAAACTACTTTTTCCTTTATGAATAAATTCAGCTACAGATAGAACTATTAATCTTCATGCCAGTTCACAGTACCTTATAGCATTTTAAGCAGCCTCCATTTGAGGTCCTGATCTGACTTCTCTAGTTATGAATAAGTACTGTCATCAGCTCTAAAGCACCATAAACCATTCTTCTTCTCTTACTGCTAAGGACATTTCACATTCTGTAGAAGACAGTCACCCACTGCATATGACATCATTTAAACAATAGTTAGAAGCATATATGCCAATTCTAAGTATACACTTCAGCAACTATAAACTACCAATGCATGTCTGCCTACTAAAGGCCTGGTTCCTACACCGACATATGTAAATATTCGCACATTTGCTTGTTTTGAGAAATTTAATAGCCATATACTCACACGACTTCCTATTTGCTCGTGACCGCTTCCTCTCTCTAGGCACCGCTCGCTGGCTTGGCACTTGGGTGGCAGACTTCACGATGCGATCCATGATCTCATCCGCTGCGTCATCTGTTGCATTAGGTGAATCGTCGTTGCCAGCGTTCCATGAACTGATACGTCCTGGAAAAGTCCAGCAAACGAATTGAGGGAAAAGAAGACAGAAGTCTCTTGCGTCACTTTGGTTTTGCAGTTGTTTTTTTTTGGGAATTACAGCAGGCAGCTCAGTCATTGCTACTTCAAATTGGCCAAAGTAGAAGACTGCCTAATAGAGAATATTTCTAAATAATACCTTAGTCTCTCTGCTGATCAGCAGAGACTCAAGAGCTCAAATGCCATTATAACTTTCTATCCCCTTCAGCCTTAGAGTCTTACCCTTGACCATACAACTGGCAAATGTCTGCTAGAGACTGCCTACAAGCCAAGGATTGCTAGAATGTTGCATGACCACGTCTCCCGCTGCTCCTATTACATAGAGACTAGAAGACACATATTAGAAATTGATGCAAACCAGCACGACAGGTCCTTTGAACCAAAAGAGAGAAAGATTCAATTTCCGAGCATCTGTATCACAGCCCAGTGCAAAGATGACATGCAAAGGGCAAAATATGTGGTCTGACACGTCTACTTGTCCCTTTCACAACAAAGAATTCACCTTCTCATCACAAAGTTGTATATGTTCTGGCACAACTACATCTGCTCTGTTATGAGCAGAAAAGCAAGAGTCATTGGCAAGCTGAAAAGCTAAATAAGCAATTTTGGTTAAAACCACAAACAAACAAGTAGGCCATGTCTCCGAATCCAACGCTTTGGCACTCCTTACTCCACAGAGCTGTGTCAGACACATCTTTGGGTTCTTCCGCTAAAGAATACTGTTCCATATGCTTCTTGTTTTTGAATAATTTGGAGGCTAGTATGCAGTGTGAACACTGATAGTGAGCTTTGCAAAAGAGTGAGTGTGGTGGAATTGTAAGCAGCTAAAAATTCACTGGCGAGGCCACTCCGTATCACGTCCCTGATGTCACTAAACAACAGCTTTGATTAGCACTTTGCTCTGCTGCTTGTCTCCTGGCTTTCGTCAAGAGCAGTTGTATTACGATAGTGCTCCTGACAAGCTTCTGTCTGGCTCACCCACCCTCTGCCTCTGCTGTTCTTCAGGGGAACACAAGCTGACTCCCATTATCAGGACATACTGCTCATTAGCATTCAACAGATTACTTGAGCTATTCAGCTTGTTGCAGTGCAGCTTGAATTATTTCATCTTTGTAGTTTAGCTAGTTGACTGTCTCCCTAAATTGAGGCTGTGAAATCTCTAAATTAGACAGGATCATGGTTTCAAGCCTTAATAAACTGCACACACACAGATTTAGCGGTGGATGCTCTGGATGTGCTATCAGTGGTATCAAAAAAGAATCAAGAAAGTGTAAGATATCCAGATGGGAAGGAAAAGAAATACCAGAACAGAAAACCGAGGACTTGAATTTTGGTGCATCACCTTTACTCCAAAACCATCTTCCAGGTATCACATCTATGGGAGGGGGTGAGGGGAAGATGAAAGAAAATAAACTGGTGATTCTAGTGTCTGTAAAATGATTTAGCATAAAGGAAGTGGTTTAGTGGCTGCTTAAATGAAGAGGTGTACCAGTGAATCATGTCTTGGACAAAAACCAAGGCTATCTCATTGCCAAGAACAGTTGTACCAGTGAGCCCTTCTATCAGAGTATCAGGTGTTGGAATCGGCAGGTTGGGTCAGGTTTTCGTTTCCTCCCTGTCGGCTTTCAGCAGTCACCCGTGCTGACACTCGCAGAAACAGCAGAGCACTGTGAACCTCAAGAAAGAGGTATCTGTCGGACAGCAAGGAGATGGGGGGCTGTCCACAGCAGCTTTCTATGCTCCCAGGCTCCACTGAGTCCACTACCTTTGCAGTTAAGCAGGGTGCTGGTTAAAAGATTCATCATGTTTTTCCTACCCTTTTTTCAATCCCCAGTCATTCCTAAAATGCTGCAAGGCCCTTTCACTTCAATTTGAATTACTACTCTTTACTTGCTTCTGTTGAAAATAAAAAAACCTCCACATTATGGATCCCCTGTTTCACTTTCATGATGAGAACAGGAACAAAAATTGGGATGTTAGTGGGCAGCTACGTTCACGAGGGTGGGGGGAGAAGTACAGATTTCTTCAGGCTTGTACTCCTAAATGCCCCAGGCACTACTTTGGCTGTGATCCAGGTGTTGAAACTTCAGGCAAATTCTCCTACATCCCTGTGTCCCAAATCGCCACTTCCAATGTGGAAACACCGCTGGGGTCTTCTCCTTCCCCTCCACCCTTTCTGCCATGAGCAATACGCAAGGGGGGCCACAACTGCATTTGGGCCACGTGTGGCTACTGCACCGCAAGAAACGTGGCCAAAAGGAAACTGCTGGCACTCACCTCGGCTGGCCCGGCTCCGAGTGCGCACCCCGAGCGCTGCGGTGCTTTCCCCGTCGACAGAAGAGGTCTTCAGCACAGCCTTCATGTTCTCGTGCTCCGCGGCGTCTTCGGCGTACTGCAGCCCCTGGGGCTGGCTCTGGCACGGGGGCGAGCTGCTGGAGAACTTGCCGGACTGCAGGAGGAAAATGGATTTGCTGTTTTAACAGCAAATGGCATGGAGGATGGGCCAGCGTCTAGACTGGGAATTGCAAGGAGAAAAGTGTCCTCTCGGACACTGGGTTTGGAGTGCAGCTATTCCCAAAAGAGCCAGGCAACAGTTGCTCTTATCCCAGAGCATGCACCCTGGGCAGAAATAAACCGGAAAGAGGGCAACAGCAGGGAGCAGCACAGAAAATCAGAGGGAAACCAGATGCATCAGCATAAGGTTTCTAATTTTGACCTTCTGTCTGAGAGTACAAGGTACGAAGCAAAGACTTGCTTTGAAACCTTTGAACCAGGCTGGGCACAATCTGAAGTCAGGCACGACACCGAGGGGGGTCAGGATGAGACCCAACACAAACAAGAAATTGCTTTTTCCTGTACCGCCACCTTTCAGTAACCAGCCAAAACTGGGAGCAGTCTAGGAAAAGAGACCTTTCCCTCTTGCCTCTCTGCATTGCTGCACAGAAAACTCTCAGACTGCTCTAAAACACAAATACCTACAAGTAACCTTAAAATACGTTACCAGTAATGTTGAAAAAGTCCCCTGTCCCAAAACATCCAGCCAAATTATTTCAGGGCCAAAACACAAAAATTGCAGTCAGCAGTTAGAAGAACAAACAAAACCTTACAAGACATTTAGGAATCTGCCCTCTGCTTCCCCAGCCCCCCTGCGACTTCCCTGTCACCAGGACTACGTGAACAACAGCAGCTGCATTAGCTGGGCACACATAGTGTGCGGATGCAGCAGCTCCACCAGTTACTGAAAACAGTCATCTACAAACATGAAAACAGCAGAAATGGATGCTTTCTAAGGAGAAAGAAGAGTTTGCATCGCTGTGCTGCTCTCCCTTCCCAGCCTCTGCCTACAAAGGGCTGCAATGTTGGTACTCACTCTTATCGACAGAAAGGCTAAAGCACGTTTAAAATACAGCCCTAGCTCTGGAAAAGACAGGCTCTGTCAATAGGAAACAGGCATCAACAGAAAACAATACCCCTTGGTATTTTCAGACCTATACATCCAGCATCAGAAACTGAAAGAAATTTTCTTTTTCCTTTTAATCTTTCTCACTCCCACCGATTCAGCACAGATGAAGGAAGGCAGGCATGCTGCATTCTCTTCTTCCTTTGCATAATAAACAACATTCATTATTCACTTGAAGGTATTAAGCCAGTCAGTTAAAGGGATGCAAAACTGCAGAGCCTTTCTGTCAGAGAACAGTAAATTGGAAGAAAAGACTGGGCCCTGCTTTCAGAGCTTTGATCAAGTCGCTGGGGTTGTAAAGACTGCAAACTGAAAATATTTAATCTGGAAATCAATGACAGGATGATTCTATTTAAACATAATGACTTTTGGGAGTAGGATAGCAAGCTAAGTGAGTAGCGGAACAATAATCTCTGCAAGGCACTGAGCTAAATATACCAGTGTGAGATTTATTTTTGATAGTGAGAAGTTGTTTTCTTGTTAAAATATTAGCTTGCAACATTTTGATGTGAAAAGTGTGCAAGTGCTAGAGTTTCATGTGTGAAATCGAAAGACAGAAAAATATTAGAGAGAAACTTCTATGAAAGTGCATGCCATTTTTGCATTAAGAATACTCTCTTGCACACTATGGGTTGTAAAGTTAATCAATACCGACTCAGAAAAAAACCAAAGGATAAAGTCTTCACATAACTGTTAGTTGCTATTCACACAAGTTAGTTAAATGTTGGCATAAACAGGCTAATTTGTGTAATTTTCTTTCTGTGGCCCAAGCTGTACAGCACAAATCATCACTGGGGGAGAAGCTCTACAGGCAGAAGTTTTATTTCACTTCCTTAATTTTTGAATGTTGCTGTAGATTAATGCCCAGACCCCAGCCTCTTGAGCAAATGACTGCCATTATGAAACAATAAGCATTAAGCCACATTGTTTATGTTCAGCAAATTGAAGAAAGCATTAATGCTGAACAAAAAATGCATTGCACAATAGATGCTCCTCAATCCCATAAATTGTTTTATTATGAAGATAGCTAGCACATTATAGTTCTTAAATTATTCCTTCACTCCTTTATTCATTTTCAATATCACCTTTGGGAGCACTTTATGATACACACATGAACTACTCCACGGCTCACCTCTATGGTGACTGAAGTATCTTATTTGCAATTCATACAGCAAGGAGAACCATTACAATTGGCTTTGCATCCCTATTATCCTGATGCTTTTGAACACTTTATAAAAATAATACCACTTGGACTTACACAGCTTAATAATCACTATGAATTATCACGGTAATCTGTAGCCCAAGGTAACTGATGATCCTGATAACATTCAGATCACTTATGTTTTGGGTAGTGTGGATACTCTGCAGTTTAGTAAACAGGCACTAAGGAAAAAAATGAGGAAACTTAAATGATGAAGGCCTCAGATCAGGAGATCCTCATTTGACAGAGCAGGTACACATATGCATAAATGCATTCTTATGATTGTGTCAAAAAGCTATGAGAAAAATGTCATGGTTTATAGTTCCAGTTGAGCAAATGGAGTTGAGCGGTCCATACTATCTGAGTTAGAAATTAGATGCCACAGCACACAGGGGACATGGGAATGACATGCTCCTTCAGAGAATCATACCTCAGCATCCTCTTCTTCATCAGTCTGCCACCGGAAACAAAGGACAGGATGGAGAAGGACAAACAGTAAGATTTAGGAAGGACAGTATGGTTAAACCACGACAGAGTTAAGAGGTAACCATGGTACTGTTTATGCAATTATAAGAGGACATAAAAATACAAAGTGTACAAGGAATTAATTCCTTAGACAATCAACTTGCCTTTTTTTTTTTTTTTTTCAGTTAATTGTACACAGAACAGCCTGTCCCTGTCAGTAGGGTATATCAGAATTTCCTGGTTTTTCTTAGAGAAATTATGAACTGAAACCACCCCTAACCCATCCTATTCTATCCCCAGAGTTATGCAGTTGCTTGCCCACTTTTCACCCTGTGGAAACTGAGAGCACTAGGAATGACTATCTCTCTTTTTTCCAGCTCTGTTCAGAACTGGGAGGTCCTGGCTGCTCTTCCTCCCAGTGCAGAGGTTGGCTTCTTGGCAATTCCTCTCCTCTACACTTAAGTGCTTGACTTAATTCCTTTTTTAAGTTGGAGCTTTTCAACTTCAAGTTCCCAGAGCACTAAAAGCAAATGCTGAGTAGTCTTTCAATAAATGGTTAAAGTTCAGTAGCTGCCTGATAACAGATCCTGGAAATCAGACAGAAGCAATTACACTTTGTCATTCAGGGCTTTCAACTTCTGTGACACCAGGCGTGTAAAACTATCTTGACAGCTACACTACATTAAATGCAATGAGTGTATCAAAATATTATGGCATATGGAGTGTTCTTAAATTTGGGGATTTACAGAGAATTAGCAAAATATTTAGAGCTGTGTTCCCAAATGCCTGGGGAATTCTTCATTGGATTCTAAGATGCCCCACATGAAAGGTTCCCAAAGTAAAACACAGTTTCTCAAGTATCTGGGCTCTTTGTTTCCATAATTTTCAGTTTGATTGCTTATAAAGTGCAAACATAGCCTAGAAATTCAATGCATCTTTTTTATTTGTGGGGTTTGTTTTGTTTTGTAGAAGAAGCATTCCATCAATTCTATTCCCCTCCCTAGTGTTACTAATACATATTTTTGACCTTATCTCCATCTCAGCTATGATTTCTGTCTGGGATTGATACATTCTGTTCCAGAAACATTCATCATTAAAAATGAAATCCTGATTTACTTTGGCCCTCAGCTTAGTTTCAGCACAATCTCCATAAGGAGATAGCTGTGAGAGTGCTGAGCAGCACATTAACATTACTTTTTAAGGGTATGTTTTATTCAAAGAGTGAGATGCTTATTTTTCTTTGGACACAGTGACACTGACAGAAACACAGGCAGATGTTTTGCAGAGGGACCTCGGCAGGTATGTTCCCTTTACATTATGAGAAGATCTATTTGCTTTTTTCCATCCCTTAGTGGGCAGGAAATCACACCGTAAAGCAATTCTTCTGAAGAAGGCCACTGTTCAATTTTTGGCATGAATAAGAAACAGAAAGGAGAAGAATGGGAAGCAAGAACATATTTGTATGCTAATCCATATGTACATCTATCTAATAAACAAAAGCTGGGAGGACAGCAAATTAAGCTAAACAGGATGGAAAAGGCACTCAGGGAAAGGTGAAATAGCACATTAGAGAGTGTGCTCCGAACAAAAGAGTATTATATTATTACCTTACATCAAGTTAGATTTTTACAGGGAAAGTCCCAGCTGCTGGCCTTCCTGCCCATTTAATCTAGCTAAAAGTGATTTTCTGTGGGCTTACTTTAAAGGCAACGTACTCCTCTCTGACTTTGCTCATCTCCTGTCCCTAGGGCATTACCATTTCCCTTCCTTCTGCTTTGGGTGGAGAGGGCTCACACCTAGACCTGCTGTCCTTCTACACCCAAAGCTACTCCAGTGCACAGGAGGAGCAATTCACCATCCCCATCATGTTTCCATTTCTGAAGACCCATTTGCTCCCAGTAAATACTGACAACAAGAGCCAACGTAGAAAAGTAATACATCAAACTTTCGTTTCATAAAGGGAAACTGCTCACACCCAGGTGTGCACATACTGCCTTTTCTTTCCTTCTTCATTTCATCCTTATAAGTACACTCAGAAAAGTGAATAAATTAGGAAATTTTAAACATGTAATATTACCAAAAAGTACCGGAAGAATATTGCTGTTCTGAATACCTCTTCCAGGTACAAGATGTTAATTCTAACAAAAAAAGGCTGCTCAATTCTTTTGTCATCCAATATTGGATGTTGCAGGACAATCTGAGACCTCCTTCCCTCCTTCCTTCTCTCCCTGTCTCCCATTTTTCCTTTAGGCTAGCATTTCTATGTGGTGGATTTGCCATTTCAAAATATCATTTCTATTACATAGCAATTTTGGAATTGAAACTCTTAACTATCGTAAAAAGCAGAGCTTCATAAATCTGGGAGACAGATGCTTATATTACCTACTATTATTAAATATCATTAAAAAGCTCAGACTTGTATCTATAATTGCATTTCTTCCCTATTTTGCTTGCTTGTTATTTTTAGTATGCCTGAAATGCGTGACTGCTGTCATTGGCTAAAGCCAGATACAAGGTTACAGAGACTAGGCAATTTTTACTGTGAAAATGTGGCGACTCACTGTTTTGCTTTTTTTCCCTTACCCCTCCTTCACTGTTTTGCTTTTTTCCCTTACACCCCTTCCATCTTTCTCCCTCTTGCAGACAACATTGATCAAGATTTAAACTGACAGTGCCCAGTCCGCTTCAGCTATTAAAGAACATATAAACACGAAGATCTTTGTGGTAAAAGGCTGAAAGAAAGACTGGAAATATTCCTTGTCGTGTTTCTCAGCCCTACTCCATGTGAGCAGTTGCTGAAGCTGATGCAAGTTCTCCATGCAAAGAGCCAGCACCCCTCTGCCTTCCAAGTCTGCAGGGGGGACCAAGGTTTGAGAGATACATGCTTTCTCATTAAGAAATGGGATGGTTCTGGCTTATTCCTTTCCCATTTTTGCTAAAATCTCTCTTCTGCCTAAAAGCACTGCAAGGTGATAAAAATGAGGTCCTGAGGGAACTTTCAAAAGGACAGGGAGGTAAATATCAAATAACTGCACAATCCTTCTAGGTCACCAAAAGCAGAAATGAAAATTCCACATGACTTCTTCTTATTAGAATTACATTCTATGAAGAGTTTCTTTTCAATGTCAAGATCTAAAATTTCTTCTATTGGTGTTTTGTAACGAGTTGAACATACTGTCAATGCGTTACTGATATATCTTCCATTATTAATCCATTCAAACATAAAACACTAAGAAAATCAAAACCAGATACAAACCACGGCCAACACAATACTACAATAAACTCTCCCTTTTCATCATTCTTCACACATAAATATCTTCCATCCTGCTGACTTGGAAACCTATTTTGAGGTAGATCTGACTTTGAAGTTGTCAAAGGAAGCTGTGACGAATAGTCTGATGCAAGTTTAATTCTGTTTTACTGCAATGTACTGCAATCAAATGAATGGCAAACAAGGCCATATTACTTGGCTAGAGTTAAAAAGTTTTAGTACATCCTGAAATAACCACATGGCCACATGAATAACACCCATAAAGGAATCTCTATAAGGTGAATTTTAAAGAATGTCTTTTTTTTTAAGCTAATAGGACCATTATATAATCATAAACTAGTGACAGGCAAAAAGTGCTCCCCTTTCTGGGGACCTGGAAGATATTTTTAGGTGGAATGCTAACTTTCAGGTGGCATTTAACTGTAAATCTCAACTCTATCTTGAGCTGAATGGCCATCTTCTTCCAATAATACGTTTTTCTGGGAAAGGCCTAGCTGCCTCCTTTCCCATCTTTTCCGAAAACGGCCATCGCCCCCGGCCCTGCTCGTCACTGACTAGCTGTCAGCCCTGAGCCGCCTTCTGGTTTGAAACGGTCCCTTCTCTCCTTCCTGAACTCAGCTTCCAGTGATCAGATTTCCTTTTCCCCTCAGCTCTCCTGCAGGAACAGGACACAGAGAAGCTTTCTGTTCTGCCACAGCCAGTTCTTCTGGACACACAATACAGAAACACTACGTCATATACTACGAAAGCAGGAACTCCTTCACGTCTTAGTATTGTTTAAACTAGTAAAAAGTATTGAAGCTATCTGAGAAAATGAAAATTTCAATTTACCAATCTCTTTGGTTAATGCTATCTTTTAGCTCCTCTAGGATACTGCAGGAAATGGAGAAGCAATTGAAGACAGGGATTTCGGATCTCCAGTGGTAGTTCTGAAAATTTGTATGACTATATAATACCCTTTGCATAAAATCAGAGCCTCTTTCTTAACCTGAGGCTAGACCAAAAGGAAAATCTTTTGAGATAATAATACAGGTTTAACACACTCTCTAGATGGGGCAGATTTCCAAATTTTAAGAGGATATTGCCAGGGAAGATCTACAAATGATTGTGAGTCAATGACTTAAATACAATCTCAATCTATATCAGTCTCAATACATACATATGTTTTGACCCATGTTGCCTGAGTCATAAAACTGTTATCAATTTAGGGCTTTTCATGCCAAAGGCAGAGGTAGCTTCATATGCAATGAACCACTTGCATCTAATTGAGAGTCCAGATTTGGATTTCTAGACAGCTGGAAACTTTTATTAAGTACTGGCACTTCTTAAAACTTTATTTGGATTGAGTCAAACTACATCAACTTAAAAACAAAAGATAAAAAAACATATCAAGGGGATTTGAAAGCTTACTATGCTGAGAAAACTAATCTTATTATAATTTATTCTATCACTACGCAATCATACAGTCAAAACGTTTGCAGAGTAACACCTACTGTGCAGATAAATTTGTCTGTTCTTTCGGAACCCCAAAGTCATCTGTTCCCACAAAATAAAGCACTGTTCTGTGCTTTAAAGTTAAAAAGAAAACTGCTCTGTGTGTGCATGGGTATTTATATACACACATAAAATACTAGGAGTAAAGACTGTATTAGAATATTCAACGATAGAGGAAAAAAGTCCATTTCAATTTGGTTGCAACCACTTAAATGGCTACAACGATCCATTATTTAAATCATGTCCTGATTTCTATTTTTTTTTCTTCTTTTTTTTATATTCTTGGCTGATTAGATACACACAGCTCCTAGTGTCTTCTAGATACTTTGGACACTGTCTGTGCAGCACACAGAGATGCTTTTTTTGGATCCTTAATTTCAGTTTGTTCTCATTCTATAAATTGGTATGAAGCAAAAAATATACACAATCAAGGACTTGCAAGTTTTGTCTTCTAAGAAAACAGAGTTCATTACTTACAGTAGAAGAATTTCTTAAAAATAAAAATAAGAAAGTAACAACACTTCCTATACAACATTCGATGAAAGAAAGTTTTAAAGATCCATGCTGTGGGAGATACATTTTGCCACTTACATCTGTTATCATTTTCCCTCTGGTCTTGTTTCTTTCCCTGTGGTTAGCTCGTTTCTGTTTTTGCTGCAAAACTCGTTCCCTGGTGGTGCGGTATTCCAGAGCAAATTCGCTAATAGTTTTGCAGAACTTATTGATGTTGACTTCACGTATCGCATAGGGAGGATGGCCCATAAATAACAAAAATGAGTGAAACCTGTAAAACAATGAGTTCGTAAATGCAAAGGGAAAAAGTCTTGTTTTATGGTTTCTAGGAAAAAAAACCTGCAACATTTCAGTGAATCCATGTATTAGCTCCCATCATTTCTTTTGTGCTATAGAATTTTCATGGATGGTTTGCATAACACTGGCATATTTTATAATTAAAACCATGAAAGCCTAGTCTATGATAACTTCATCCCAGTCCACTTTCCCAGGCTGATGTAGGAGATAAGATGTTTATGGAACTCCATCTACTTTATATGACTAATTTGGCATGTGAATGACTGATTTCATTTCAGTTATAGAAAAAAATATAAGTTTCAATCTTATTTATTTGTATTAAGCAACTTCAAAGAGGCTATTAGGATGTTGGGGAAAGTCTAGACCAAGAAGAATGCAGATTTACAGGCTAGCAAACACAAGAAGGAAAGAATTTCTGGTTCACAAAACTGGCCATAAAATTACATTATCTACCAAGTACTTCAGTTTGGGATACTCTCAATTCACAGTTTTACTGCTTCTGTGGCACTCAGAGTTTCTGCACTATTTGCAACTTTTACTATTGCTTCTATATTGCATGATTTACAATAGCACACAATGTTTAAAAATGTATGGGAATTCCTTTTAATGGCATCTATGTCCCTGATGATAAAAAGTCTTCCCAATCCTAGAAGATGCAAGTTCGTGGATACATTTTTGGAGAAGCCTATAGTAGTAGTTGCAGGGCATAAGAGAAAAAGTATTTTTCTTATTTGACCAATGCATACCAGAAACACAATAGGACACTGGTGAAATCACTTTCCTACTACTGCAATTGGGATTTCTGCTTACTTATGGCATGAAAAATAAGTCATCATGAAAATAAGAGCTGAATCAACTTCTCAAGTGCATATCCACAAATCTGGGATAATTTGGAGTCTACGGCAACTTGGAAATTCTTCAGAAGTTGGCAAATCTCTCAGAATTTCACTAATAAACAGCATGAACACAGAGAAATTACTCAAATGACTTAAACTCATATGTCTATAATTGTGAATCTGGAAAAAAAAAAGCTCAGGTGTGTTGTGGAATTGTCATGAATATGTACATTTCAGAGCACTGCAGTGACTGTTAACTCCATTGGATGAAACGAAATCCAAGAGCAAGTCCTTAGAAGAGCAATCTTTATTCTGTCTTCTGCTGCGTAGGCATAAAACACATAGTTGTAGATCTTGCAAATAGGAGTGGTGCTGCTTATAAGAAGAACTCACTGTACCAGACTCGTTTCAACTTCTGCATATGACAAGACTATCGCTAGAACTTCAGTGTTTTGTTAGAGCCTGTTCTTACTTCTCAAACAAGCCACTCCCTACCTCAAAAGCATTCTGGGAAGGACAGAAAATATAGCAACTTAACCATAAAGCTACTAGCTTTTTTGGGCTAGGAGTTAAAAGACCCAATATTGCACCTTGGGAATAAATGATTGCCTGTATCACGGCTTCTTTTCATCAGAAATATAGATGCTTTCTGGAGTGGGGATCTTTCTTAAATGACATCTATAACAAATAACCACATACATCCTAGCAACATTACTTGCTGGAATGTGGATTAAATGCTTATTAAAAACATATTTATGATGTCATAATTTATAATTTTAGCAAGTCATGTATCATCAAGATATTGCTGTCACCAAACCAATTCTATACCTGTTAATTATTCTTCTATGAACAATCTTCAGGATTATGATTCTTTCTGCGCAGTCTTTAAGGAACTCAGACATTTTTTGTTTTAAAGTTGGTTTCATTTCATGCTTTGCTATAGCCTTAAGGTGATCCCATGATGCTTTGCACCGTCTTTCCATCTGACACAAGTTTTCCTGAAGTTGTTCAAAGTCAACCTGAAAAAAAAGAACAGAAAAGAAAATGTAACACATTAATTGAAAACACTGCACTAGTAACCTTGAGTATCTGAGCAATGCAATTTATGTATAAGAAAGAGTCAATGTGGTGGCAGCACAAAATAAATTCACATTATTAATTACTACTAAATAAGAAATAGCTTTCTGTTGCAATTTGTCTAGACATGAAATGTTAGTAAGGAAAACTGAAAACAAAGAAATATATCCATATACATATATATTTGGTTTTGGTCTTGGAGGCCTAATACCTAAAGAAAGGACAATAAAATATTGTGATGTGTTTTTTCCCTTGCTAATAACTTCATGGCTGCACCAAGCAACTGTATGACTCACTCATTTCTGAGGTAATACAAAACTTTCTCTTTTTCTTAATTCTTTTCTCTACTACTCATAGCTTTATATACCCTGCTTACTGCTCACTGTTGTACCTAGCCAAGACTTCTCCAATTTAGGAAGCACTTGGATCTATTCCCTCGCCATGCACTGACTTGTTAATAGATGACCTACTTCTAATCACAAAATTCACAGGCCAGAATTTTTTAAAGCTCTATTGAAATTAAGTGTTACTTAGTGACCTCAGCACTAACTTTCATCCCCTGATATACAGTACGAATTTGCTGGTTGGTAACAAGATCATATAACGGCTTTGAAAGTCTCTCAACGCAGCTAAAATAAATGACTGCATCCTACAGTAACATTCATCAGGACAGAAGCCAACACATTCCAACACATTCTCCTTTGCTCATCAACCAAAAAAGGTGTTCACATTGCAATGGTCTACAGAAGACATTCAGGATGCATTGGTAACAACAGGATAAAATGCATTAACGACCCAGCCACAGCACACAACAGATGAAAAAAGTAAAGCTACTCAACACGTTCTTGAATTCTGAAGAAAGGAAAAACTTATTTTATAATACCACTTCATAGTTTGGATGAACTCAAGCTGTAAAATACAGATTTAGCTCTCAGATTCTAAACACGTCAGTGTTTGGGATGTTACAGTCTGGTACTCCAGTTAATTCCTTAATGCTAAATGAAAACCAGTGTTAGAGACAGGCTTTAGTTCACTCTTTTTAGCTGTGTGTAGTATCCACTGCTGAGACCTATACTGAGGACAGCCATAAGAAATGTATTATTATTAAAAAGCTCCTGGTATTGATTTGATTTGGTTATGCTGTGATTTATAAAGTGATGAATTTTTCCTCTTCACAAGGAAATAAAAACATCCTTTGATCCATGCTGCCATTCAGAAAAGCCCTGCAGGCGGAGCAGCTGTGGGGTTTTTGTTTTCCTTATATCCATATCAATGCATATGTGTTTTTTTTTTAAAAAGTCCTTTCCAGGTCAGTATTTTCACTGTTGATGATAAACACATTGCTGTTTTCCAGAGATGGATGTCTAAACCACACAAGGGGAAAAATACCAGCATTCATATTAAGAAAAAAAATCCAAGAGGAGGTTTTTCTAGGTCTGACTAGTTAAGAATTACCCAACCTGGTTGGGGAAGTCTGTCAGCCCCTGCAAGAGAGAAATTTAACTTTATGACATTTTATAACAGCTTTCACTAAAAACAGAATGAGTTTTAACCTACAAAAAGCTTTGAGATTCAAGCCTGTAGGAGTTCAAGAGACATCTATGGAGAACAGCGTATCTACAGGGAAAAGACGCGGCAAATTCCCTGTCCCTTGAAACCTGCCAACAGCCAGTGCATTCATAAGAGTGGGCAGTTTCAGTAGGAACTGGGATGGCAGGTCTGGCTAAGGGATGCTCAGGAATTCTTTAAGTACAAACAAAAAAATTGAGATCTCTGGGGAAACCCTAAGGAGACAGCAGCAAGGAAGATGCCACCTGAGCTCCCCTGGAGTAAACCTCCATGGAGCACAGGTGGCTCTGCTCGAGCAGATGTTGTACACTCCTAGGAGTAAAGCAGGAAATCCAATATAGGATAATGTGCTTGTGAATTCCTCACATGCAAACTTTTCTGTGCCTGCAATAATGTGAAAAATCTTAATGAAATCTAAAATCTTCTGGCTGCCAGCTCTCCAGAGTTTGGCCACTTGTTTGTGGACAGAAAGGAATACACTTACAGAAAATTATCCACGTGTGAAATATTAAAAGCCAAAATTTTTCAGAGACAACCACATACCCTGCCTGATATTTCATGAAGTGCCATTTCAACAGTGCAAATTTTGCAGGTAGATACAAAATCCACTGCTCTTCAGTCTGCTCTAGGTCTTACATGCAAGGAGTTAATTGGAGATTCTTCACATGCGATATACCATACAACATCCCTTTCCTCTATCCAAGGTGTAGACACTGCCTCTCAACAGAGCACCACGTAACAAAGCTAAACCTTCAGATCTTTCTAAAAAAACCCAAGCAATCAAACAAAAAGACTAGCACTTACCAGCCTGCTGACAAGATTTTTCCTACTAAATCTTGCAGAAGTGAGATTTTAAATGTTCAGGTTGGATCAGCTCAAAGAGAAAATTCTGAAGTTAAAAATATTTGGACTCTTCTACGAAATGAACCGAAACATTTGACAGTTTGCAGCTTTAGAATACTACCTGTACAACATTTTAAACCACAGAAAACAAGCTTTCCCCAACTCTTTCTTCTAACAGCAATTGCACTAATATGATGCCCTACAATGGGAAACAGTGACAAGCACAGTCAGCCTCACTGTGTCTCCTCTCTCCTTAACTTACATATCTCGCCCTCTTGTTTCCTCTTCCATCCCCTTTGTTTCTTCAGTGCTCATGTTCAGATAAGAAATTAGCCATAAATCTCGTAGCACAGTAAAGCCAAAGATCCACTGACCACTGATCTTCTAACTGGACAGATGCTTGTACACAGGATCCAGGTGATGTTTTCTTCTAGGCTAGTGGAATATAATAACTAGGTTTGCATGCCAGCAATTAGTGTATCTGGAGAGCATGTATCAACCCTTACCCAGACTGGCTTTCCACGGCTATCTGAAATAGCAGTATGTATTTTAATTGATAAAATACACCAAAATCCTGTTGAAGTAATATGCTCTTATTTTGCAAACTCATATTTTCTAAGCTTTGTAAGGTGTTGGCATATTAACCAAGATGGACAGCTACTAATTCCCTTCATTATGAACACCAGATTCCACTGAAAAGCAGGATCCTAAGGAATTTGACATCCTCAGATCCTCTTCTTTCTTTACTGTGAATCCAAACGCAGCATGGACATGAAGAAGCTTTTACAGTATTCTAAGCAGCAGCAGTCCCATGACTGTGTGGCCAATAAGCCTCTTCATTTTACGCACGTTTTTATCATAAAACAGCAGGTACGTGCATCAGCGGAAAATGTAAGCAAAGTACAAATCCATCTGAAAAGTAACATTTTAGCCTCACTTTAACTGAGGCAACCAACAAAGAAAAATGAGCACACCAAGAAAAATGGTGTAAACGTAGATATAATATTTGTGCGCAAATGTTTAAAAACAGCCACATGGATCAGCAATATCTTTGTAATTTCCTTTATTTTTTTGTCATTTTTGCTGTTATTGCTCTGTTTAAGATCTCTGCTAACACTGAAAGTGTTACAAATATAACAGTATATACAAATATAACAGTAACAATGATTATAAATGATCCCCCAACTACATGTCCCTGTGATAAGGAGAACAAGAACTCGTGTGGAGCAATAATGACAATTATTCAATCTAATATACATCAAGGAAACATGAAAAGGCACATATAATACCATACTACCTCCCTGCCAGTCCACACAGCATTCCCAAGGGAACACAGATCGCGCTTTTTTACTTATGTGTTTATTTCCAACAGTTTACTAAAACAACTAATGCTACATAAAGGTAGAAAGACAAGAATCCTTTCTCTTTTTTTCATTCTTTCTTTCTTGAGAGGAAAGATGCAACAATTCTTGCTCACAGCTGAAAGGCAATGCTGGGACTAAGGAGGAATTCAGGTGAGTTTCACATCACATTGTGGCTCCAGGAGACCACAGCATAGGAGGTGCTAGGACAAGAACTGCTGTGGCATTATTTCATAACTATGTTCTACCGACTAAAAGGAAGCAGTAACCTGAAATGTTCATTACAGCTTTCTCCCTGACTAGCTGTCGTGGCCAGCCCCAGGTTTTCGAGGAAGGTGGAAACATACATTCTTCTTTTTCCTTCTCAACTCAGTACATGTATGTTGAAAAGACATGCAGCTTGCTGGTCCTACTTACTGTTTCCTTCTGCTAAAATTTTTAAAATAAATCTCTTTTTTTTTTCCTCAGGCAAAAGAAAGAGCAGTCTTAGGCTGTTAGGCGAAATAAAAATTACTTCTCTTTCACACACTGTGTAATGTTTATTTGCATTTGTAAACCAGTTCAGAAAAAGCAACTTTCTAAATGCTTCTGGGATATATTTGACATATTCCTCCTTTCTCCTGCCAGGTTCCTCTCCATTCACAACCACACTAGCTGAAAAATAGTCAGAACTAATTGTTATTTATCTGTGAAATCTCTTGCTAGGCCTGAACAGGCTGTTCAGTCTTCTGAGAAGTGCCCTTGTAGACGCTGTTGCATCAGAGTGAAGTAGCCAGAGATAGTCTATCTAAACTGGATTTAAAGCCTAGTTTACAGGACACAAGCACTGCAGGTTCAGCTGCATTCAGGAAACCATTGTCTTAAATCAATAATGGGCAACTTTAAAAAAACCCTAAAAAATATCTATTTTTCCATTTAATGCACCATCATATTTTGCACAAATGACACTCAGACCGAGAATAAAACTTTCCAACCACAAGCCAGCAACGCCAGCACTGATTTTAATCCCTTTATATCACTATTTATTGATTGCTACCATAGCAACAGATGACTCTACCATAAACAACACCATAAAACCCAATTCTACCAGGTTTCTCACTTCATTGGGCTAAGAATCCAGTATTGCACAATACACCTTATGGCTATCACCCAGCTGGCTTGAATTGGTA